TATAGGCATTTTACACTTTTTATATAATTTATGTTAAATACATAAATGTTTGTAAGTAAAATTTAAAAAGTGATACAATAATATTTTTACGAAAGGAAAACAAGTAGGTTTTCTATTTAACATAAATTAAATACGTGAAAGATGAAAACAAAAGTAATTGCCCATAACATATCAGCTCTTTATGAGTTTCCTCTATTACACGAACAAAGTAATAGCTATTTATGAGCATTTTACTCTAAATCATTTAATTTATATTAAATATACAAATGGTTGTAAGTAAAATTCAAAAAGTATTACACTCATATTTTTACGAAAAGGAAACTGGTAAGTTTTGTATTTAACATGAATTAATTATGTGAAAGTAATACTCGCAGGTAATTTAATTAGTTACTTAATTTATGTTAAATAGATAACCTACTGGTTGACTTAAGATTTATGAAAACCGGCATTTTTTCTGGCACATCTAGTGCTTACAATTTTTTGTATTGTACTTACACCTCCTCAACTTTAGTAATCATTCTAATAATTTATTCTTCTTTCAATCTTCTACTAATACAAGGAGCAAAGGGGCAGCCATGGAATAAAAATACCTTCTCACACATGAAAATAATATTGTAATCAGATTTGGGCTGATTGTTACCAAAAACTCAAAAGCACGAGAGGTCAGTGAAATTTTGAAGACCTCAGGGGGTGCCAGTGAAAGTGTCAGAAACCTCAGGGGTGGTTTCTGAAATTTTCCCTTTTATTAAAGCAACTTTCTACAGCACAGCTCCCCAGTATTAAGCATTTGCGAGGAAGAATAATTCGTTCTATTAATATACTATAAATATAATATACCTTTTTTTTTGGTTTGATAGGAGGGTTTTAGACCCATTACAAGGTAACTAATTTAGGCGTTGTAACGCCTATTACATCATATGCTAACCACTTCCTCAACCCCTCTGGTGGAGATGCCAGCTCTTGAACTCCTGGCTCCAAACTCAAGCTCCTCTTAGCTAACCAATCTGCACTCAAATTATCCTCCCTCCACCGATGTAATATCTCACATTGCCATTGCCACTCTCTTAAACTTCGGATTTTGTTGATCTGCACCATAACGGGGCTCTTTTTTGGCTCTTTGTCGATGAGCTCTAAATTCACTTTAGAGTCCGTTTCAATGATCACTCTCTTGTACCCCTTGTTCCATGCTGTCTTCATTCCAAATCAAATAGCCCATAGTTCAGCTCCAATATTGGTCCTCTGTCCTAAATTCGCCCAAAATCCGCTAATCCACATTCCATACTCATCTCTTAATAGCCCTCCAGCCCCTGCAATACCACTCCTAGAACTAAACGCCTCATCTACATTAACCTTTATCCAACCTCACTCTGGTTTATCCCACCCAATGTTTATAATTTGTCTTTTCTTGCTCTTAGTTTCCCTCTCTAGTACTCCTTGATTAGCTTCCAACACTGCAACTATCATTTTCTCTAGGCTATCAAGTTTACTGCTGTCCTCATTGATGTAAAAACTATTCCCGCCTCCCCATATTGAGTATACCACCTGTTGGAACACTGCCTGCCAGTCCAGGTGATCCTATCTGCCTATATTACCTCTCTTTAGATTCCAGTCTATCCAATCTCCTTCACTCTTGCTGTTAAATTCCTCCTAATATCTTGGATGAACTAGCTTGAACCATATCTTCCTAGCCCAAGGACAATCTCTTAGAGCATGTAGCTGCGTTTCCGGATCCTGCCTACATATTTTGCAGTAACTAATCTCCTGGAGGTACCTTCTCTTCTTTTCTGCATTAGTTAATAGTTTTTGGTGCCTAGCTAACCACAATATGAATTGCCATCTGCCCGGTCCTCTTTGCTTCCAAATTTGATTCCATCCATGTTGATGAGCAAACACTTCTTCATTACATTCTAGTTTATATGCAGTTCTTGTTGAAAACACTCCCCTAGGATCCGGAGTCCACACTGGCAAATCCTTGTTGGAGCCTTCTTCTGCTAAATGGACTTCCATTAGCTTACTTAACATTTGAGTGGACAGTAAGGGCTCCAATGCATCCATATTCCATCCCTCCCCAATAACCTGATAATCCCTGACTTTCTTATGCAGCTCTCCTATCAGAATTTCCCTTCCACTCATGTCCACTAACGGCTTTTCTAATAACCATACGTCCTTCCAAAAACTAACATCTACTCCATTTACCACTTTCCACCTCACTCCTTTCCTCACCACCTTTTGTCCCTCCTCTATACTCCTCCAGACGAAATATTTTCTCCCATACCCTCCTAATTCTTTATACTTGTTTCTAAGAACCCTTGCCCACAGCGACTCCTTCTGGTGCAAAGCTCTCCAACTCAACTTGGCAAGTATTGCTCTATTGGTCTCCCTCATTTTCCGTATCCCAAGTCCTCCTTCCATTTTGTCCCTTGTCACAGTATCCCAGTTCACATGATGAATTTTCCTGCGCTTTGCTGAGTCCCCCATAAAAAATCCCTTGCACATCTGTCTACGTCATCTAGCACTGAGCATGGTAACATAGCCGTTTGCATTGTATACAGAGGAATTGCAGTTAGCAAGAAGAAATATAATATACTAATCTGAACAGATATGCTTTCTCCCGTCAAACAAGAATAAAACAAAAAATGCACGTCTGCCTGGAAGAATTGTGGCTAAACAACTAGAGATTAAAAATCATAACATGCTTCTCTCCTGCAGTTTAGAATTCCATTTAATTCCTTAATTGTTGGAGAGTGGCCATTGCTGTCACTCACCATGATTAATTAGCATTTAGTACTGTATAATATCTTCACCCTTCAAAGAATGATCTTTTCTGATCAAGACCCTAATAAGTATGATTAATCATTGGCTTGAATTCAGAAAAAGAAAGCAACTTAGATTTAAAATAAAAAAATACCCCTCTTTTTTTGATGATCTATTAGCACTAGGAAAGGGAAAAAAGAAGTTAATAAGCAGAAAAATTTTGCCAAACATTTAGCACCCTATGTTGTTTCAGGCCGCATATTGCTGAGTTGGTTGAATTTGGTAGGAATCTCTATTTCGCTGGTTGCGAAAATTGGCCTTCATAGCCATACTTCCACCGGTCTTTCGCCTCCTACCAGTTTTTAAGCATGGGGAAAAGCTGGACTAATAATTTCGAGATATTGCTACCTACAAGAACACCAGTCTTTAAGGGCCTAGACAATTTATCAAATTCAAACATCTAAGAAAGTAGCTTATCCTAATTGCCTAATCTACCAAAATCATGTAACTGCTAAGTTGTATGGGATATGAAGTTTTCCCGGTATGCGTTGTACATTTTCACATGAGATGCACTCGATTTATAGTTCAAATCTTATCTGGCAAATCTCAACTCTCCACTTGCCCAGAATTTTCAGGATCCGAAACTCCTTTTTTTTTTTTTGTTTAATAACAATGATCGTTAGGATCATTTTTTCTTTAGTGACATCATTTCTGCCAGCAAATGTAGCATCATATTTGGAGTCTAGAATGTAGGAGTATAAAATACGGTCTAGTTTAGTGGTTTGGTTCATCCATCTCCATACTTCAGCAATGGTGGCTCCAATTGCTAGTCCTCAGCAAACTCATCACAGCATTAAAACCGTGAATCTCTCCTACAACCTATCACCAAGCTAATTTGATCAGCTGCTGAATTTGGATGCCTGGCAGGAAACTGCCAATGAAAAGACCAGGTACATTTTGAAAAATGTAAACTGTGAAGCCAAAGCGGGGGAATTAACGGCAATTGCTGGTTCTAGTGGAGCTGGGAAAACCTCGTTGTTGGAAATTCTTGCTGGAGTTATTGTCTGGTCTAGAGTTATCGGTCATGTTCTAGTGAATGGTCAGCCCCTAAATGTTGCACATTTCCGGAGAGCGTCCGGTTATGTGACACAAGATGAAGCTCTTTTCCCACTTCTCACTGTCGAAGAGACTCTGATGTATAGTGCGCATCTCAGGCTGCATGGAGGGAGTGAGGCAGCCAGAGAAAGAGTTCGAGACCTTCTGCAGGAGCTTGGACCAGACCATGTTGCTGCAGTGAGAATTGGCAGCGAGTCTAGAAGAGGAATTTCCGGGGGTGGAAGCGTAGAGTATCAATTGGAGTTTATTTAGTTCATGATCCTGCAGTTCGTTTGATTGACGAACCAACATCAGGGCTTGACTCTGCTTCAGCTCTCCATGTTTTGACTATGCTTAAATCTATGGCTAAGAACCAAGGTAAAACAATCTTGCTGAGCATCCATCAACCTCGTTTTCGAATTCTAGAGTTATTTGATAGGGTCATTCTGTTATCTGGTGGCCTTGTTGTTCATAATGGACCCCTGGATTGCCTGGAGGAAAGGCTCAAATCCACTCTCAGCATGTCAATGTGCTTGAATATGCAATTGATGTTTCACAAAGCCTGTGTATGGAAGAAAGTGATGCAGAAATTTGTGAAGCAGAACAGGATAGCACGGATCTTGTGATCAACAATTACATTTCGTCCAACATTCAAACAAAGCACATCTCTCACTACTGCAATTCTTTGTGCGAGGAAGCACTAATACTTACTCAGAGATTCTCCAAAACATCTTCAGAACCAAAGATCTTTACGGTGCAAGGACGATTGAAGCTTTACTCGCAGGAATCCTATTAGGGACGATATTCATGGATATATACAATAATTCAAAGAGACCAGACGTCCAAACTCAAATTGGATTCATGGGGTTCGTTCTGGCCTTCTTGTCGTCATCCACCACAGAAGCTCTACCAATTTTCTTGCAAGAGAGGGTAATTCTAATGAGGGAGACCTATAGAGTATCTTCATGTGTTATAGCAAACGCGATAGCGTTTCTTGCCTTCCTCTTGCTACTGGCTCTTCTATCTCTTTACTATCCCCGTTTACTGGCTAGTTGGATTGAGACGCGATATTGATGGATTTCTTTATTTCTCTCTGTGGCTTGGATTGTTGTCTAGATGGCAAATTCTTTTGTAGCATGCTTTAGCGCTCTTGCAATCTTGTAGAACCAGAAAGCACTAATAAGCTGTAGTCCTAGACCCATTGCCTGAAGAAAAAGAAAAGCTATACCTCAAAACTACAAGCTGCAACTGTATAAATAAAGACATTAAACTCACAAAATCATAAAGTTTACAATGTTATAATTAGTGAAGAGAATGCTTATTGTTCTGGAGAGATAGTGGATTCTCAGTGTCTACTAGCACATCGCTAATCAGAGAATTCACCTTCAGGAGTAGAGGAATGTCAGCAGATAGAGCTACATAAGTGAGATGAGATCCAGCTATCATCCTTGCAGATGTAAAGACTGCTGCAAACAAAATCTGCATGCCATGTACCAAAATGGACCAGAGTTTTAGTAGCAGTCTTTTGGCAAGTAGAGCCATGGATGTGTACAGTTCAAAGTTTTAGTAGCGGTATTGTAACAAGTATTGCAAAATTGATCGTAATATTTGCTTTGCTGCAAGCTTTAAAACTAAAATCATTGAGTCGCATTGAGAGTTAGTATAAACCAAGAAAGAAAGTGACAGAATAGGTTGAAATTGGGGGGGCTTGAACTGACATCAACAGCCAAATTGAGGTTTGTGCCTTTATAGCCCAGCTTTTTGAGAGGAGATCTCTCAAGCGGAGGAATGGACTAGAAATCTCTGCGAGCCATAATACTGCCATCATCTCTGATCCGCCCTTCATCATTAAATCTGGTAACTTGCATGCATCCTTCCCCACTATTAATTTGAATGTATCAATCGTGGTTAATTTACTTGCTATCGACCTTGAGCATGGCTGCAGCATGACAAAAGGTATCTCGGCTAGCACAATTTATAATTTTCCTTGTTTCTAAAAAAATTATTTGCCATTTTCTTACTGGGTCTAATGATATTCCTTGTGTAAAACAGATCTGTTCCAAGTTTAATGGAAATTGGGGATCCATTTTATGAAAACAAAAATTTCCAGGGTTAGTGTAGGTAAATTACTAATCCAACCAAACCAAACTTTACGCTTAATGGTTTAGAAACATCATTTCCACTTAGATTCACGTACCAAAACAAAGATTATAGTCTCATTTCAACACACATAGATATCGTTCCACTTGATGATTTGTTTACAAAAACAAATGGGTAAAGTAACCACCGTGTGGTTTTGTATATTGTTGCGTGACTCCTCCTAATGTTTCAAAATATCCGTTTAGCACCCCATGATTATGTAAAGTAAAAAACGGATGGAAATCATCTTCAGTTATGGCAATTGATCCAAACGAGCTCCAAGAATGCGTGTAATGAAAGGTATAATACCTGCTTAATCTCCCCGTTATTTTTCATAAATTTTCACTTAATCTCCTATAATTTTTCATTTATTCACATGTCTCCCTAGCTATAATTTTTTGCTAAGTGGTCATCATTTAGCACTTAAATGAGGATGATTTGATGATTTTATGGAGCCTACGCCTTCAACTCCTTCTTCCCGGGCAGATGATGGTCCTTGATTCTCAATCTCAATAAATTAAATTAAGATGTGTAGTTTGTAATGGAAGGATTAATTGTAATCAAAATTCTACACTTCCATGGGAAAGGAGTTGAGATCTAAGTAGAATGTCCACCAGTTCTTTTCGAGGAAGTGGTTCCTCTGCAATTGCCAACATCTAGCGATGAGCAGTAAAGACTGCCAAAAGGGAAAAAAAAAAACCATATTGTATTTGAATTGAAGGGCTCAGAGGCAATTGCAGCATCCTCAGCTCCAGTTTTGAATTTAGACTCAGTTCACAAGATCTCGAGATAGTCCCAGAATATTTTGGAGATCACCTTTAATTAAAGGGTAAAAAACAAAAAAGCCCCCTGTGGTTAACCTAATATACAAAAAAGTTCCCTATGGTTTCAAAATATACAACACGACCCCTCATACTTTGAACTAAATTGTAAATGTGACGGAATGCGTTAAATTTAACGGAAATGGACGAAATGACCAAAATGCACTGATATAATTAAGCAAAAGACAGTTCAAAAAAATCATTTGTTTTATTCTCTAAGTAGAGAGAATTGAGGGTTAAGGGGTAGAATAGGTATATTTGATAAAAATTAGGCATAAAATTTTTTTTTTAGGTTCTAATAAGTCATTTCCGTTAAGTTTAACGGATTCCGTCACCTTTATAATTTAGTTCAAAGTATGAGGTGTCGTATTGTATATTTTGAAATCATAGGGGGCTTTTCTGTGTATTAGGCTTATCACAGGGAGCTTTTTTATTTTTTACCCTTAATTAAATACTAAATGTATTAATGCACATGCTTGTATGTGTGTTATTGCAGTTTTCTTCAGTTGCGCCCTGCACAAAATATAAGTGTGTTTGGATTGTAAGTTATTTGAAATATTTTTACTGTAGCACTTTTTGTGATGTGATGTATGTGAGATAAAAAGGTAATTGGGAAGATAAAAAGGTGTATTGGAAATTGTAATAGTGATGTCAGCAAATATATTTGACCAAATAATTGGCTGTCCAAACACACTATTATTTCACGAAACTAGAAAAATTGAATTTTAGTATTGGAAGATACCAAATCTATATTAATTTGGGATCCATTCTCAAATTGAAATCCTTCAATCCACATGCTGACTTAAAGGATTTTTTTTTTTTTGGAAAGCAGAAGAATTTGGTGAAATTTGTTTCTTAACCCATTAATTCCATTTCCCTCCGTATTTTTTCGTTCAAGATTTCCCTTCTTCTTCTTCTTCTTCTTCTTCTTCTTCTTCTTCTTCTTCTTCTTCTTCTTCATACTGTATATACTTTTGGAGGGCGAAACAGGAACACAAGTACCGGGACCCTTGACCACTCTTGTGGAAGCCTGTAGGATGTAATCATCAACGTTTCATAAAATTGAAGCTTGAAATTTAAATTCTGAAGTCCTAAAAATAAATGTTAAAAGTATCAAATTGCCGAATTGATAAAATTATGTCTGTTTGATAAGTAACTGAATACAAGCACAAGGATAGGAATATCACACAGATATGATAATTTTATTCTTTTTCAAAAATTATATTTATTTGTGTATTGCAAAGAATGAAAATTGTGTGTGTTTTGTGTGTGAGTGAGAGATAAAATAATGAAAAATTAAAAAGTAGTGTTTAAATTTGTGCATTTATGTGTAAGTATGTGTATGTTGAGATAAAGAAGGAAAATGTATACTTTGTGCCTGAACATGTACAAATACATTGTAACCTTGGGCCTTAGATCATGGTTTTATCTTATGAAGATCTTCAAGATATTTGTGATACATATAAGTATTCTATTGTACAAGACTTTTTTTTTAAATTTCTTTCCAAGATATTTGTGATACATATAAGAATTCTATTGTGCAAGACTTTTTTTAAAAATTTTTTTCTAACAGAGAAGGGGTGAAACTTAAAAAACGAGAGAGAAGATAAAGAAATTTGAATTTAAAAACTCTAACACTTGAAACCTCAACCTTGGCCACTAAACTAATGCCTCATTGGCACGTAGTAAACATCTCAATTACTCCGAGGAGTAAAGCTTATGCGTTGGCGTTACAGAAATTTGGCAAAAGAAGAGATTGACTTGGGGAGTCCATTATTTTATATATATATATATATATATATACACACACACACACTAGTTAATAGCTTGCTCATATTAGTCACTATAAAAAGAAGGAAAAATTGTCCAAAACATCTCTCACATTTTGTAAAATGACTTTTTTCGTCCCTTACTTTTAAAAGTATAATTTTATGTCCCTTACATATTCACATCGATCAAATTTAGTCCCTAACTAGGTTTCAGGTCATTTTTTTGCCGGATTACACGTGATCATTTTTTAAGGGTAAATTTGTTAAATTATATTTTGCATAATCTAATTTATTGTCCCTCACATTTCATAAAATATATTTTTTCGTCCCTTACATTTTATAAAATGATTTTTTTTCATCCCTCATATTTCATAATATGAATTTCTCCATCTCTCACATCGGTCAAATTTAGTCCCTAACACACACACACACACACATATATATATATATATATGGCTATTGTGGCGGTCAGCAACACTGGGGCAGCCGCCTGAGAGGTGGAACACAACATTTGTAACTTGCTTCCCCATCTACGGCTGGCTGGCTGGCTTGAAGGCATGCCTTTGGAAGACAGTTTGTATATAACCATTCTTACGATCTTGTATGCCCAGAAAGCACTGACAAGTTGCAGTCCAAGAGCCAGCGCCTGAATATATATACAAGGAAAATGTAAATACAAGATACCCCAACCAAAAAAAAAAAAAAAGAGCCAGAATATTAATTAATTGACAAAGTGCTACTTCAGCTTGTTTTTCTTTATAACAATGGAGCAAATACTTGAATTTAAGGACATAGTAATCATGCCTTTCTTTGATTTGGTTGTTGTTAAATCATGTAACTTACCTTCATGAGCAGCGGACTATCAGAAAAGAGAAATACATACGTGAGATATGGTCCAACTATCATCCTTGCAGCTGTGAATATGATTGCAAACAAAATCTGCAACAAATATAACACCAGCATGTTAGGAAGCTTCACCATAGTTTTCTAATTTCTATTATTGATGTTGTCCTATTTTTTATACAATTTTTTTTTTTTTGCCGGACATGATAGATTCTAATCTATATCTACTCCTACTCTATATTAGGGGGAGTGGGGATGCAAAGGGGTCAAGAGGGAATTCGAGGAAATTGAACCATCATCCATCCAGACGGGTACATACTCATCTGTTGGCAAAATTTTTTCAGAAAATCCTGAATTTAGAATGTAGGCCGGCACCCAAGTAGAGCCTTAAGGGTCCTTTTTGCCCATTATCGAAGTGGGAAGCAAATGATCAATATTGACAGATTTTGTAGATTTTTTTAATGGAAATATATATCATGAAGTTGAGTGTAGGGTTTTGAATGAACTAACATCAATGGCCAAATTTAGGTCTGTGTCTCTGTACCCCATTTCTTTAAGGAGGTCTCTTAAGTGGAGGAATGGACCAGAAATTTCTCCAAGCCATAATGCCGCCACCATTTCTGATCCATACTACATATATAGAAAAGAAAAATATGGACAAGGAACTTATATCACTGCCAAAAATAAAATTTCAGAATTCAGAGAAAATCAAATAGGAAAAGTAGAATAATTTATATACCCTTTCAGAGGCAAGGCCTGCCCAAATTCCAAGAATGCAGACTAAATGATGAAATATGGTATCCAGATTAATGTTGTCGCTGAATTGGCAACATGCTAAGTCAAAAATGAGATAAGCACCACTGATTGCTAATGTTTGGATCTGCAGCAATTTGAAATAAACAACATTCTTCTTAAAAGCGAAAGTATCAAATTTTGTAAATTTAAACACCACAACAAAAGTTGGAAAAACACACACACAAAAAAAAAAAAAAGGAAGAAAAAGAGGAAGAAGAAGATATCTGTAACTCGTTCGAAGCACCTGCATGGGAGAAGACTTTGAGGCCAATGGAAAAATTGGGCAACTCCAATCTTGAATGGAGAGAGAAGCCAATGTTACTGCTATAATTGCATGGATTGAAGAAACCACACGTAGGCTAAAATCAAATGAACGTTCTTGAAAGATCCCTTTTGTTAATAAGAATAATATTGTCCAGAAGAACACACCTGCTACAACCAACCCTACTATGTAATCTTCCATGCTGTTGCTAATTGCAGAAGAATTTGGCCATCTCAGATGGATGAGACAAAGAAGGAATGAATATTTTACAACATCAAAGTTCTGGTGAAACTAAAATGCAATGAAACTTTTTGGGTAGTATATAATGCAGAGTTAATGCTTTTTTTTTTTTTTGTAATAATAAAGGAGTTGATTAAGGCTAATTCATTGTTGAAAGAATTATGATCATCAGCAATTTTGAACCAATAGCTGGTCCGTCTCTTTAAACAAGGTATTGGTCAATTTGTAACGGTCTTCATTATTTTTAGAAACTACTAGTTTTTATGACTTTGTATCGATCAAATTGTTATAAAATTTAGATAACTATTCAAATTGAGTAACATATATGCTATATATCACCAATTTTCTTGAAGATATTAAATTATATATTAAGTGCAAAAGGAGAAACAATTGGGGATTAATTTGACTATACCCCTTATTTCACATATAAAAAATATACATTTTTGCCTAGAAAGGTGTTTTGGTCACAAGAAAGTAAGTATGACACTACTTGTTTTTGTTATTACTAATTCTGTTAATTTGGGGAGGAGGCAAATTAAGTGTACTTATCCAGAAATTGAAGCTAATAAAGTGTAATGACCTTATATATTTAGGGGGCAATGCGTGATTATCCCAAAAAGAAATAGTCGTAGTCCTCACTAATTCCTTCAATTTCCGAGTTCCTAATATAACCCGCATATTGTTTAGGTTATGTCTCTAATCAACGCATCCACATGCTCTGTTATACCATCTCAAACCACAAAAAAAAAAAAAGCACCTTTCAAAATAGAGTAAATCTTATATACATTAAATGCATACATTATCACTGTTGGATCCATAACATATGTGCAAAAATTGAATTTTAAATTTAAATTTTATATTGTTGTCATTCATCCAACGTTGACAGTATATATGAATTATGCCGTATAATTTATAGTAATAGAATAAGCATGTAGGAAAGATTAATCTTTCAAGATAATCATTTTAAATGACGCCATGCCGTCTAATTTATAACAGAATAAGCAAACAACTTCTGTTGGGTAGGGAAGATGATTTGAATAAAATGGTGAGGACTACGTTAGTGAAACTTACATGTTTTTCTCTTCAATGTTAATATTAATCACAGCGTTAGTCATCAAACTTTTGAAAATTGAGAGGAACTTTTGTTGCAAAGAGAAATTGATTCCTACAAACTTATAATCATAGTTCTTTTATTTATTATTTGAATTGATGTCCACGTGACTTTCACGACACATAGTTAGATAACAAATAGTCCGTCGATTGTTATTTTTCTATTCAAATTAAAAATAGTGGGAATTCAGTTGTTAGAGTCACGTATATATTTTTTTGTTGCATTGGCCACTTATACATATACTTAGCAATAACTACAAAAGTAGACATTCACCAAAAATCATTTTTTAGGCAAAATTAGAACAAATATTTTCATGGGATTTCAGACTATTATAAAGTAGTGTGCACCATCTATTACATTTTTTTTTGGGTTTTGGTGGGGGCATATTCATATTCATTTTTGTTCGGTGGGCACCAAGTGTGATTACCTCGTAGGACTGCAAACGAACCGAGCGGCTCGAGTTGAAATCGAGCTCGAACTTGAGATCAAAATATTAAACTTAACTCGTGAGTTCGAGTATATATTATAAATATATATTTTTATTTTAAGTATATATATTTTTTATTTTTTATTTTAAGTATATATATTTTTTTATTTTTTTATTTTAATAGTAAAATTACATATATATCCTTAATATTTTATTATTTATTAAGAAAAAAATATTACTTTATTTATTTTTTAAAAAATAAAAATAATTATTTTTTATTTTTTTGAGTTCGAGCTCGCTCAAATCAAGCCGAATTCGAGCTCGAACTTGAAATTGTCGGCTCGTCGAGCTCGAGCTTGAGTTTACTAAAATTATGTCAAGACTCGACTCGATTAGACCAAAACTCGATTCGACTCGATTCGTTTGCAACCCTTACTCTTAGTTTAGGGGAGGGAGAGTGTGATTATCCCAAAAATAGGAAAAGGACTAATTGGGTGAAGAAAGAAGATAAGGGGCAAATTATGATGGTGGAAACATTTGAAGGACTAAATGAACTATTTTACGGGAATGCAAGTTATGCAACAGCAACACCGATCTCTTTCCCGAATCATTTTCCCAATCCCCAAATTTATTCCCCAAATTAAACGCGGCGGACGGCTGAGCGGAGCTGAGCTGAGCTAGGGTTTCACCACACCTCATCACCACCACCACCACCGATCAGGTTTACCATTATTTTTCACACACAGTCACACACAACAGAGTCTGGTTATATTGGTTGAAACGAATGAGTCCATACTAAACAGCGCGGTGCGGTTTTTTTTTTCAGGAGAAAAATGGGGGATCCCTATTGGAATAGGCAAAGTGGGATGCAACCACCAGCAGCCGTAGGAGGAATGCTTAAACGTCACCGTTCCGATTACGGTATACTTTTTACTTGAAATTCAGTAAAATTTTCTCTTTGAATTTGAAATTTCAAGCGTAAATATGAAGAAAACCAAAATAAAGAATAGTATCTAATTTTTTAAAAAGTTCTGTTGTTATAGTTTCAGTCATGTTTTGTCATTGTTAATTGCTGTAAAATGTCTAAGGAAAATAAAAATAGGTATAGAACAGAAACTCTAATTAGTGTTTGAATACTCTGTTGCTTTCAGGCCACTAAAATTTTTTAAAAAAAATGTAAATTGCAGTTTGGGAGAATTATTCAGAGTCTTTTTAGGGAAATTGGGTCGTGGGGGTGTACTGCAAGGATCCTGAACATGTGAATCAAATTGTTTTATGGATATTTACATTTGTACAACTGAAAAGAAAAACTTTGTTTTTTCTTAAATGTACTTCATGATGCCTTTTCGCTGGAAGAAACAAATATTGGGCAAGTATACTGGTCTTAGTTGTGACTTCATTTTGGTGGACTGGAAGACTTAAAATGACGACGGTGTTTTTGATGGGGGCTGTCAGAATTTAGCTAAGCTTTTTTGAATTTTGGAGGCAGAGTTTAGAATGTTAAGATTTAATATATGATTGAATTGCTGCTTGATTTCCTTTTGATGCTATATTGGTATTTGAAGGTCAGACTGAGAGGATCTTTGGGGTGAAAACTTTTACAATAAAAATGTGTTTTTTGCTTGAGTTCAAAATATGCCATCTTTGCTAAAGCAATACACTAAATAGCTTTTTCTCAGCTCAATCCACTTGACTTGTCCATTTGCTTAGTTTTACAGAAACCACTCAATTGGAATTAAGTCAATCTTAATTTGTGGTTTTTCTCTGGCAGAATTCAATTTTGATGTCTGGCAAGCTAATAAGTCATTAACCTTTTCTACTGTAAATAAACCATGGCATATTGTTACTACTATTTAACCTTTTCACTTGTCAATGAATGAAATCCCAACTATTGGAGACTTTCTGATTGTTATTTATCATATGGAATGTGGTATTCCTTATGACTTCTGATGCATGGTATCAATTAATTGTTGATCATACTTTGCACTCATCTCCATTTCTCACCTTACAGTAAACTATCTTATTTTCTTTCAACTATGTAACCTCTTTGATGAACTTCGTTTTCAATTTCTAGCCATTCATCATCAGTTCTTTTTCGGGTGTCACTTTGGGTTCAAAATGTTTACATTTTGGTCATAAATGGTTGGTATCAGCTATTTTTCTTTTAGTTTGTTCTGTAGACAAATATGCGGATTATACTTGCGTGTTTGTATCTCTTCATCTCCATCTCTCTTTACTTTGTTATTATTGTTATTTTTCTTGACTGAGTGGGAGAGGATGAATTTTGTGCATGACGCTTCTGTCTCTGATTGAATAGAAAGTGCATTGGCAAATTTATATTTCTCAACAAATACAGATGTCCCGCCATCTCGGATGACATTAGGACATGAGATGCATAACTATTTAGCTCCTGATGATGACCGAGGTGGACCTCGAATAGTAAAGGATACAAAAACCCTTGGATCAGCATATGACCGATATCTACAGAATTCGGTATTATTCAAACCTTGAAGGAAGATTTTCTTTTTTCTCATTATGCTTTTCACCAGCTGAAACATGCAAACTTTATTTTCTATAGCAACTTTCTCTTAATTCTGGAGAAGGTAATAACTATGGTGGAGCAGCTTTGAGAGCAGTTGGTAGTGGTATGCCTACACTTCCAATACGTGACCCTGTTTCATCTGGTCGTCCTGGGACTGGTGGTCCTGAACTCGCACCAAGCAGCAGAAGGGTGGGGTATAGTGGTCAACTCCCTGTGGAGGAAATACCCAGGACTCGTGAAACTCTTCCTCTTCCTCCAGATGCTTCAAGCACATTGTATATTGAAGGACTTCCTCCTGACAGCACGAAACGAGAAGTAGCTCGTATCCTGTTGGATTCTATATTTTGAAACAAATTCTATTCTTGTTTATTATGCATATTTTAATTACTATTCTTGTTCTTGTTATCTGCATTGGCCAATGTGTTACTTAACGTTGCCTGTAGATATTTTCCGTCCTTTTGTAGGTTATAAAGAAGTAAGACTTGTTACCAAGGAATCCAAACATGTATGTCGGTACTTATACTTTGTTAACCTTGTTTGCTTTTAACCATAGTTAAGCTTTCCTTTTTCTTTTCAATAGCAACTCATTTGACAATGATATTACTTGCCTTTGTAGCGCGGTGGAGATCCTCTTATTCTGTGTTTTGTTGATTTTGCTGACCCTGCATGTGCTGCTACTGCATTGAGTGCCCTGCAAGGTAATCTTTTCTCTGTTGACATGGTCATAGTTTTTAGCAGTTCATAAATCGTCTATATCTGGTGATTGAAGTTCTTATAGTGGTCAGAGTCTTTTTGTCCATGCCAGGACAAATAAAAGGTCTTTTCTTCTCTCTAACATTTTGATTTGTTTTTAGATGTAATTAGTGGATTTTGTATTTGGGTGGATAAGAATGTTCTTGTACAGGATCTTGTTGTACTATAGTAGTGTTCTATTCTTATCCTGCTGTAAAATTCTTGAGGCGGTTGAATTACCAGGTTATAAGATGGATGAACATGACCCAGACTCTTCCTACTTGCGGCTGCAATTCTCAAGGTTCCCAGGTCCAAGGTCTGGCCCTGGATTTCGTGGGAAGAGATAGAAAAGCTTCAGGCCGCTGATACCTGACTCAATGCACTCATTAAACAATGTAGTACTTTTATGTGATACTCGATTTCATGTAGTTGATCCTGAACTTAGTTGATACTTGACACACCTGCGCAGATTTGTTCCCCCTCTCCTCTTTGTGGTGGGAGTGGAAGAGGCAGGAGAGAGATTTGCAATAGTTTTAGCTTATTTGGAGCAATTAAACTTGTTGCACAGAGGGCTGAAGGTGCATCTTTTATCAATTGCAGCTGGTGTTTGTATGTTGTATCAATTATCTGTTCTTCGCAACCCTTTTTGCGCATTGGGTGCATTTCAGGTTTTAGGTTTAGAATGATCTCGATTAGTTGGTTTTCTGTCATTGCTTCTTGCTTCAAAGATTCTTCCTCTGGCATCTTTCCACAAAAAGTAAGACGCAATGGTGGGCTGGGTTTCACTTATATGCCCGTCCTGCTACTATGTTCTCTTGTGAATGTGTCATAAACTCAAGTATAAGCAGGAAATATTGGCAAGAATGGAATGGAAGTATTAGGCCCAGATCACCAGATAGTGAGCTGGTGATCAATCCTCCCTTCACGGATAATACGGTGGAGATTTGGACTGCCTAAATTAAGTCTAAAACAGTTGAAGAGTGCAGGTGGTTTCAGAGGGATACTAGGTCAACATTGCAGGTATGATGCTAGAGATTTGCTGTTTGCTCTATAGAAAAAACGTGCAAATCTTTTGAGGATGGCTTTGCTTGCACGCAGATGAATTCCACTATTGTAAAATCTACTCTTCTGGTCAAATCTTGGTAATCAATTTTTTGGCTAATTAGGATCTGCCTATTCGAAGATCTGCAGTTGGTTTCTTAAATTAGGTTCTCAAGTTTTGGCACTACAATTTTTTTTAAAAAAAAGAGCAATAAAATGGCGTTATGGTACTCTGGGTTCCGCTATCCAAATACCTCCGAATAGATGGGTTTTCTCAAGAAACATGGAGCCAGGAAAAATAAAAAAAATACATTCTATATAAAGCCTGGCAAATGGACATGAAAGATATAATCCGGGAAAAAAAAAGTCCCCCTTGGTTGAAATTTAAGAGAAGGGCAAAGACCAAGGAGAGATAATCTGCCAAATCTGAAAGCAAGAAAGTAACAACCTGAATATCTGAAGCAATAGCTTGAAATTTAAGAAATGGGAAAAATGCATTTTTCATCCTCAAAGTTTGGACCGTTGACCAATTTCATCCTCAAAATTTCACTCAAAACACATTTTATCCTCAAAGTTATGTAATTTTGGCCAATTAAGGACAATTGACGGGAAATAGAGAAATTGGCGTTAAACCCAACTGTAAACCCAACAAAAAATGGGTTAAACCGAATGAAGCCTTTTTTTAACGGAACAAAAATTGTTGCAACGGACCAAAACCAACATTCTTTTCCTTCTTCCCTCTGCCTTTCTGCAACCCCAAAATTTTTTTCCCAAAAGCCAAACCTTACACCACCTTGAAGCAATCAAATACTAAATTTTTATATTTTCAAATTCACATAAAGAGAGTTGAGAAGTGACTGAGGGGGATAGAGGGCTTCCAACGATGGAAGATGTGATAGTGGAAGCCCTTCTATCTAATGAGCGGGAAGCTCATATTTTAGCTGCCAGAGAACTTGGTAAACTTGCAACTAAACTAAGACAGAAGTTAGCAGAAAGAGGGATCATTTCTCGGCTCGTTACGATGCTTTGTAAGCAAGTATATGAAGCCACTGAAGCGGCACTCTGCTCTGCTTTGTCTAGCTTTTCACAATGAAAGGTATTGTTTGCATCAGTTAAAATTTGCAATTTTTGAAGTTGCATCCGAAGGCATTGGCTGTAGAATTGTTCCCCATCTAATTTTGCTATGATTTTTGCAGAAACAAGATCCGAATTGCAAATTCTAGTGCCATACCAGTATTGCTGGAGATCATTCAATGCCAAAAAGAGTCATTGATTGACCTTGCAGCAGCAGCCCTCTTGGTTCTTTCTTCTTGCTCCGCTAACAAGTTAGCAATCGCAGCATCTGGGGCTGTCCAAATCCTGGTTGGATCTCTGAATTCCCAATTGGCAGAAGAACACGGTTTCCAGAATCTAAGTGTGCAGGCTAAGCTCGATATCATATCCATATTTCACAATCTCTCCACCCATCCTCAGATAATCCCATCTATTGTTTTGGGGTGGGGGAGGAGGCGGTGGTGGAAATGGAGGAGCGGTGGTTGGGGAAGTGAGAGTGGAAATGGTCAACATGCAAAGGATGGGAATGTGATTGATCACCATAATGGTACGAGTTCTGGAAGTAAATGGCAATCAGGTTGCGTACTATGGAGGTAGTGGAGGAGAAGGAGGGGGTGGCGGCGGTGGCGGTGGCAGTAGAGGTGGAGGTGGAGGCGGTGGAAGTGGTAGTGGTGGAGGGAGAGGTGGTGGAAGGAGGAAAAGGAGAGGAAAACATACATGCGGTAGAAGAAGAGGTAGTGGTGGCGGAGGTGCTGGCAGTGGTGGCGGTGGAGATGGACGTGGAGGTGCGGGTAGGGGTGGAAAAGGAGGCGGTGGTGGTGGAAATAGTGGAGGCCATGGTTGGGGAAGTGGGAGTGGTGGTGGTGGCGGCGGCAGTAGTGGAGGAGGAGGAGGAGGTGGTGGTGGTGGTGGTGGTGGAGGGGGTGAAGGAGGCGGTTGGGGATAGGGAGGTGCAGGAGGAAGAAACCAAGGTGGGTGTTAGGGATGGGGATGTGGTGGAAATCAACCTCCACCAAGTAAATGAGCCCTAAAACTGGATTTAGCATTTGCAAGCGCCTAAGAAATCCAGAGATTGGGAAAAAAATTTTGGGGTTGCAAAAAGGCAGAGGGAAGAAGGAGAAGAATGTTGGTTTTCGTCCGTTGCAATAATTTTTGTTCCGTTAAAAAATGGCTCCATTTGGTTAAATCCATTTTTTGTTGGGTTTACAGTTGGGTCTAACACCAATTTCTTCATTTCCCGTCAATTGTCCTTAATTGGTCAAAATTACGTAACTTTGAGGATGAAATGTGTTTTGGGTGAAACTTTGAGGATGAAATTAGTCAACAGCCCAAACTTTGAGAATGAAAAGTGCATTTTTCCCTTTAAGAAATGGCTTCAATTTGGATGAAACAAATCAGGCTCACATCACATGTTTAATTTTTAGGGTAAAAATGACAAGCCACCTCATTCTTAACCAGAAATGTGAGGAACTAACAGCACAAAACTGCACCAACTACATTAGCTTTTCAACCTTGAGCACTTACACCGGACTTGGCTTCAAGCACCTAGCAATCAAAACCAAATTCCACTTTCTAAAGTGGGAGCTTTTTAATTCAAGATTTTCTATTTATAATTCCTTTACACTTACCATTCAACTCAACCCTTCCCCCCGACACGCCCACTAATATGTTAAAAGTCATGAAAGTACAAACTTTGATGTATTCAAAATCTCACAAATGGACTAAACTCCTGTTAACAGAATTCGACTTATATTTGTAATCATGGTCAAAGTGATGAATTGTATTATGTACTTGGCTCTCATACAAAAAAGCTAATATCAAATCACCTATAGGCACATATATATGCCTCCTCTGACAAATCATTGGGGCAGACACATTTATTTTTAAAAATCTACTACTTAGAACGTACACCTATTTTCTCTTTTTTTTTTTCCTCAGTGAGTGTACATCTAAGGTAGAAACAATTTCTGAGGCGGAACATTTTTTTTTTTTTTTGTGAAATCTTTATACCCACAGTTAAAGTTTCGCTTTGGCCAGTGAGGCACGTGGCACTACTGGATTACATGTAATTCCACCCCTGGAATCGAAAAGCCAAAGGTTTCTGTAGGACTTAACATATCCTATTCTTGATCAACTTGGTCGTGGAAAGCCGGAAACATACTGACTCGTGACAGTGATTGGAATCGAATTTATCTAAATTTTTTCTACAAACAAATAGAAAAAAAAAGACTTGGTAAGTCTAAATCATCTAGTGTTGCTTCCCTGGCCAAATTCGTTAAGATTCAGTTTGGAAGACTTGATATCCAGACATGCGAGTTGGGATTTGCAAATAAATTACTATGGTGAAGAGGAATGGTTGAAGCCCTTCTTCTTCTTCTTCTCCATCTGTCACCATCGCCAAGATTTGTTAAAATTTGCTTCTATCTCTTTTTCAAATGGAAGTCGGTAATATTTCTTCATCAAAGCATCTTCAGGAGTTGAATGTCATTTACAAATAAATATCTTATGTTATTTGTAAACTACTGAACACGAAACTTATAGTTCCTTCAACTGAAGATTCAACCTAACCTTAAAAATCTATACCCCCTTTGTGATAACAAATCCAAGAGCCTTTATGTTTCACAGTATAGATAGTAGCACCTATGGCTTTTTTTTTTTTTTTTCCTTTTTGTCTCCTGTTATTTTACGTTATTAATAATGTGACTTCAGAAGCAACTCATTTGATTTTTCTCAACACCTGTTAGAATACTCCGAAATGGATGTGCTAAAGGAGTAATTTAGCGATGTCGATAACCTAGCAGAAGAAAAAGTAGTTTAGGTGCTGACGAATGTCTAAAACACTTGAAAGAGAGAGCCCTCAAAGTCAATTGCCGGCCTGTTGCATATACACAGTTTCGATAGCAGCCATGAATACACTAAGAAAAATAACTGCAAAGATCAAAGTAAGAAAAATAAGACAAACTTTGGGAAAGAGATAAAAGTTTTGAAGCAAAAGATACTGGAAGCAAAAAAGGGGAAGTATGAGGAGAACATGGGGGTCATTGCTGAGTTGAAGTTGAAGCTAAGTCAGGCTTACAAACAGGAGGAGATATATTGGGCACAAAAGGCAAGATGCAGATGGCTGAGAGAGGGAGATAAAAATACAGCTTTTTTCCATGCAGGGATGAGAACTAGGAGGCAAAGGAATAGAATATCAGGCCTGCAAAAGGAAGATGGGAAATGGTGTGAGACAGAACAAGAGATAAAGGTGGAAATATGCAATTTTTACAAGGCAATGTACACATCTTCTAAGCCGGATGACTTTGAAGCAGTTATTGAAGGAGTCCCTTGTACAGTCACAATGGAGATGAATGAAATGCTGATTAAACCAGTGGATGAAAAGGAAGTGAAGGCTGCATTATTCTCTATGCACCCAGATAAAGCTCCAGGTCCTGATGGTATATCCCCTTTCTTCTTCCAAAGATACTAGAATACTTGCAAAAATGACATTGTGATGGCTATTCAAAATTTTCTTTCTGGGGGTTATTTACTAAAAGGTTTGAATGAAACAATAGTGACCCTGATTCTTAAGGTAGAAGCTCCTATAAACCTGTCCCAGTATAGGCCTATATCTTTATGTAACGTCATCTATAGAGTCATTGCAAAGGTGCTGGCAAACAGACTAAAAAGAGTCATCCCAAAATGCATTAGTTATGCCCAATCTACTTTCGTCCCTGGTAGGCACATCCTTGATAATGTTATCTTAGCACAGGAACTGCTGCATTTTATGAAAAATAAGAGAACAGGCAGAAATGGTTTTATGACCCTAAAACTTGATCTATCAAAGGTCTATGACCGAGTAGAATGGCAGTTCTTAGGGAGGATGATGATGAAGATGGGTTTCTGTCCCACTTGGGTAAAATGGATCCTTAACTGTGTCACCACAGTAGCTTATTCCTTTAATGTGAACGGCCAAAAGGTGGGATATGTAAAACCATCCAGGGGCATTAGACAAGAGGATCTCCTTTCCTCTTATTTGTTCCTTATCTGTGCTGAGGGACTGTCCAACTTGATGAACCAAAGACTCAATAGCAAAGCTCTAACAGGAGTCAAAGTGGAGAAGGATTGTCCAAAACTGTCTCATTTATTATTTGCTGATGACTCTCTATTTTGCTCTAAAGCTAGCACACAGGAAGCTAAACAAATGAAAGGGATGTTTGCTGCTCACGAAAAAGCTTTAGCACAGGCCATCAACTATGAGAAGTTTGCAGTTTTCTTTAGTGCAAACACAAACAAAGAGCTAAGAAAGGACATATGTGTTGAGCTGGGAAATATGAAGGAGGCTGCGAGTGGAAAATACCTAGGACTACCTATGTTGATAGGTAGATCAAAGCAACAGGTATTCGGCTATATTAAGCACAAGGTGCAAGACAAGCTATAAGGGTGGAAAAGGAACCTGTTAAGTCACACAGGAAAGGAGATTCTGATCAAGTCTGTGGCAATGGCACTTCCCACGTATACCATGTCATGTTTCAAGCTTCCAAAAGTGCTGTGTAAGGATATAAGTAAGATGATAGCTACATTCTAGTGGGGAGGTGGAGAGAATGAGAGGAAAATGCATTGGACTAGTTGGAACAAGATGTCGCAGGTAAAGGGTAAGAGGGGACTGGGATTTAGAGATTTGGAAAAGTTCAATGAAGCACTCTTAGCCAAGCAACTGTGGAGAATACTCACCAATCCAGATTTGCTTGTGAGTAAGGTAATGAAGGCAAAGTATCTAGCATAACCATAGAACTGGGAAAGAGACACCCCTAGAGCAACTTCTTGGACTTAGAAAAGCATATTTGGAACAAGAAAATTGGTGACAAGAGGGATAGGGAAGAGGGTAGGAAATGGGAAAATAGTTGATATTTGGCAGGATAATTGGATACAAGGGACTGAGGATGGAAGGATTAAAACTAGAAGAGATCCACAGTGCACACTAAGGAAAGTAGATGAACTGATAGCAGATGGAGATTCGAACCAGGAAATACTGAATCACTGGTTTATAGCAGAGGATGTCCAAAAGATCAATGCTATTCCACTCAGTATAACAGGCTGCCAGGATAGACTGTATTGGCGATACACCAAAGCAAGTGTGTTTACGGTGAAATTTGCCTATGATGTGGCAATGGAAATAAGGCAGCATCGGCACATGGAAAGGCTGAAGGGAGATAGTGGAAGCACGAGCTATGATCAATAGAACTCAAAAATTTGAAAAAGTGTGTGGACCTTACAGATGAAACACAAACTGAAGCACTTCATATGGAGGTGCCTACATCACAGTCTGCCAGTGAATGAACAAATAAAAAGAGAACAGGTAAAGGCAGTCCAATGTGTCGCAGCTGTGGGGAAGAGGTGGAAACAATAGAACATATGCTGTTCTTTTGTGGCACTGCTGAAACCACATAGAAACTAGCACCTCTACAATGGGATGGATTGAAGGAGCTGCGAGGTAATTTTGTAAGATGGTGGGAAGGGATATTAGGAGCAAAAAAAAGGGAACAAGGACAGGAACACAGCACTAACTGTAAATATTCTTTGGCAAATATGGAAGGCAAGGAACAGGAAAGCCTTTGATGAAAAAGAATCAGACCCAAGGAAGACAGTGCAGAAAGCTATAGTAGAATGGGATGAGTATATAGAGGCCCAATAAGATATAGCTGGGGAGTTCATTCAACAAACAACAAACTCAAATAGAGGAGAGAAATGGAGACCACCAACAAGAGCATGATAAAGATAAATTCTGATGCCGCATTCTCACAAAACATGGAGAGAACGGGCATAGGTGTCGTGGCCAGAAATGCAGAAGGAGAGTTGATGAAAGCATAGGCAAGAGCTGAACTCAAACATAGCGAGCCACAGGTGGAGGAAATAGTAGCAATCAGGATGGGAATGCAAATGGTCTGGAAAGCTAACTGGAAGACA